TTTCCGGTTTCCTCCTCTGGCGAGCGGAGGTTTGAGGGGTTTGTCGGAGAAATTTCTTTTCCGTTTCTCTGCCATGATCCGGCTGGGATGTGGAGCTGCCTCCGCCGGTGGTTGTTCTCCAGATTTGTAACTTGGCTGATCGTGTTATCTAGGTCGGGTTTTGGCCAGGGGTTTTTTTGTTTTTTCTCTGGGTCTTTTTTCTTTCATCATTTTGAGTTTTCGTTGCTGTAGAAACTCTAGGAAACATTGTTAGGTGATTTCTTGGCTGATATGATGCTTCATATGTTTACCCCCTTTTGATTGATAATAGCTGTCTAAGCTGTGGATTATTGTTTTCGCTTTTTTCCGGCAATAGAGTCCTGTGGAAATTTTCGTTTTCAGAACTAGTTGTACATCATTGTTGAAGTTATTTTTTAAGATAGATCCTCCCTTTCATGAAAGAGATTTATTGGTTTCCTTTTATATATGTTAATGCACAGTTGTACGATTATGTTATATGCCAATGTTTGCTTCTTACAGCTTTACTAACTGTTGTGCGTACTTCTACTAGATAAGTGATTGTATTTGGAGCCAAGGACGTGAGGTTTAAAGGATATTTGCTGCATATATTACTTGAAGCAAATGACCTCGGTGAGCGTCGTTCCAGCTTCTGCAATACCGGACCATGGTGGGAGCACAATTGGTGTTGAAAGGTTGCCTGATGAGATGAATGATATGAAACTTAGGGATGACAAGGTACCTGCATTTTGTTTACTTTCTGTGCCACTAGCTACTAAACTTACTGTGATCTTGTTCATACAAGTTCTGATACAGTTTTCTTAAATATGTATTTGGATTCACAGGAAATAGAAGCCACAGTTGTTGATGGGAACGGTACTGAAACAGGCCATATAATTGTAACAACCATTGGTGGAAAGAATGGCCAACCAAAACAGGTGATTATCAAAAAACTTATACCCGGGGCTACTGTAATTTGACTTCCTTCCTGACACTTTTTCTTTTGTAACTTGTTTTAGACCATCAGTTATATGGCCGAGCGCGCTGTAGGACATGGCTCTTTTGGAGTTGTATTTCAGGTAAGTTCTTCACTTCGTTTACAAGCTTTCTAATTGCTTGTTTTCTATCAGTGGATGACTTTTTTCATTTTTATTGTTAAGAAACAAGATACATTATCGATGTTGTTTTGCAGGCAAAATGCTTGGAAACTGGTGAAACAGTTGCGATAAAGAAGGTTCTTCAGGACAAGAGGTACAAGAACAGGGAGCTGCAGACCATGCGCCTTCTTGACCACCCAAATGTTGTGTCCCTAAAGCACTGTTTCTTCTCAACAACTGAGAAGGATGAGCTTTACCTTAATCTTGTGCTTGAGTATGTCCCGGAGACTGTTCATAGAGTGATCAAACATTATAACAAGATGAACCAAAGGATGCCGCTGATATACGTGAAACTCTATTTCTACCAGGTTTTTGCCAAACAAATTTCTCCATTTTTGTGCATATAGGATAGTTGAGATTCGTATTGGACTCCACACATACAACCTACTCTGAATAAGATGAACTCAGCTAATAGTTGTTTTGGGAATGTCGTTCCGTTCTGCTTTAACATTCCCTTTTTCTTTCTTTCCTTTCTATGCAGATTTGCAGATCTCTTGCATACATCCATAATAGTATTGGCGTATGCCATAGAGACATAAAGCCTCAAAACTTACTGGTTTGTGTTTATTCCGTTGTAACTGTTGGTTATTTTTATATTTTGATAGACAATTTGTTTATTCTATTTCAAGACCATAAACTTCTACTTGGTTATTGATATTTCCTTCTGCTGATCGTTTTCACTTTGTCCCTTTGACAGGTTAATCCCCATACCCATCAACTCAAACTTTGTGACTTTGGCAGTGCAAAAGTTTTGGTTCGTTTCCCTTGCATTCCGGAATATACTTGATGCGTTCTGCTCTCTCCTCTCGTTGTTGAGACTAATTTAATTTTGCATCTTGCAGGTTAGAGGTGAACCAAATATAGCATACATTTGTTCTAGGTACTATAGAGCCCCCGAACTTATATTTGGTGCAACTGAATACACCTCAGCCATTGACATCTGGTCAGCAGGTTGCGTTCTAGCTGAATTACTTCTTGGACAGGTTTGTAGATTTTCTCCACGCAACTGTCTAATAACTATTGTTCTCAGGTATGAGTCTAAGACATGTTCTCTCTTTTTTCAGCCGCTATTTCCTGGTGAAAGCGGAGTTGATCAGCTTGTTGAAATAATTAAGGTATTGCATGCTTTAAGTTCCCTTCCAGAGAACTGTCGAGGTTTTTTCTTTTGCAATCTTTTCTGTTGTTTTGTGTCTCATTTCAATTGTTAATTTGCCAACTCTTGCAGGTTCTAGGAACTCCAACCAGGGAGGAAATTAAGTGTATGAACCCTAATTATACAGAATTCAAGTTTCCCCAAATTAAAGCTCATCCATGGCACAAGGTACTTAAAGTTGAAACCATGTCTGTATTTTTACTTACCCTTCTAAAAAATTTACTGATCTAACATTGTATACATCCACGATATCAGATATTCCACAAGAGAATGCCTCCCGAAGCCGTGGATCTCGTTTCAAGACTACTCCAGTACTCTCCAAACCTCCGAAGCACAGCGGTTAGTAGAAATACTCTAAAATGTTAATATATGAACCAAAATGGCCATTTGGGTATCTGACTAACGTTCCTCATCAATACAGTTGGAGGCTCTGATCCATCCATTCTTCGACGAGCTTCGTGACCCCAATACCCGTTTACCAAATGGACGCTTCCTTCCTCCATTGTTCAACTTTAAGGCTCAGGGTAACGGAAAATGAACTATTAATGAATTACTTGATACCGACTGTCGATCCATCTGTGATGATGCCTAACTTCAATTTTGTTTCATTTGTGTTGATGATCAGAACTGAAGGGAGTACCCCCTGAGATGCTCGTGAGGCTTATTCCGGAACACGCAAGGAAGCACTGCAATTTTCTCGGATCTTAATGTGGTCGTGTAGTAGTCTGAACCCTGCAGAGACACACATAAGCCTGTAGAAAGTAGTAGCTAGCATCAAATTACAAATGGAAGCCCTATTATTTGTTATTTTCTTCTACCCTCTGCTTAATTTGTTCCCCATGCCCCTATTATTTTTTCATATCTATCGTTGCCCTCATCGTCGTTTTCCCTGTAGAAATGGTGTTGAGAAAAGGTTCTGCTTGGTATGTTCTTAATACCTTAAATGGGATAATACAAACCGCCCCTGATTTGTAGTTAAACAAACAGATTGTAATTTCTTATTGCAAATGAACATAACCTTGGAATATGCTCAACAATTTTGCCACTTCAATTGCCATGTTATGAAGATTTGTTCATTGTGATTGTTTTTAGTCAATCTCCATTTTGCAGCAAAATTCCTCTGGTTGTGGGTGTTAAACAACAACAAGAACATTAACCTTTTCCTTTTAGGTTTAGCAATGCAAGTCTTACTTTCTTATATCGATAGAATGATGTCAAAAGGATTTACTCGGTGTGAGATTTGATATTGTTCGAGGAAGCTTGATGTTGGAGTAAAGAATTGTCAAGAAAGAATGTCCTAGTGAGTTGTAGGATGTTCTAAAGAATTGTAGATTCTTATTCAAGACTTTATTACTCGAGGATGTCACAACCAAGTCAAATTCGACTGCAAATTGAACGAACAATCGATATCTAAGAGACCCACCTGTATTCTTACTTCAAAACCAAACTCGGTACAACAACAATCTAATCTGATCGATTTACACCCTTGCATCATAACCAATATCGAACTGATCCGCAGCCCGCTCGAGTCGGGAAAGTAAAAGCCAAGTAGAGGAGGAAGGTGGGTAGGTGGGAGAGGAATGTGGTGTTATTATTACTTAGATAAAAGGTCTAAGGTGAATGCAACATAGAACTTTAAAAAGGGGGTGAGTGTTGCTTTGAAAGGCTTTTTGAATATACAAAAAAAGTAACAAAAGTTTGGTGGAGAGGCAAAAGTGGTAGTGTGTGGTGTGAGAGGCAGCCGACCTTGTCTTATTATGCAACTTTGGTCCCCTATGCTATGACTTGTGTCACACTTTCGGCTTGCTTCAAAGCTACTTAGGGTTTGAATATTGCTATCTATTGCCTTTTCGAGAAACCGATACGGTTAGTGTTTGAGTGTGCTCTTGGTAGTGACGTTTGTCAACGAAACGTTATTTGTACCTGTAGTTTTGAGGTGTATTTGAGAGTTTTTTTTGGGCAGAAATATGTCAATTATCATCGCTTGGATAAGAAGTGTTTGATAAAAGATCACTTTGATGTTGGACGATTCACTTTTAAAAATGTTTTGAGTGTTCTCACGGTCGAGCATTTTGGCCAAAAGCACTTATTTTGACAATTTTTAACCGCACTTTTATGTTATTTAAAATATGATGATTTTGAGTGACAAATGCTTTTGGCCACGATTAAGGCAGTCACATATAAGGTGGAAAATACAGTTAAAAAGTTCTTCCTATAAGAATTTAGATGAAATTTTAAACAAAGTTGAAATTACCTGGAGGTGATTTGAGCGATGCTAGATGTGAAAAACTTCTATGTAAAATATTTATGTTTTGACTATAATTTAAAATTGTTCTCTCGGTTTAAATCTTTATTTGTAATTCGTTAATTTCTCTAAAATTGAAGATTGGATTCTCCACTCCTAAATTGTTGAACTAATAAAAAGAAAAAAAAAAGTTTCTTTCATTTATTATATACTTTTTATATACACACATTTCCTCATGCAAACACATATTTCTCATTATAAACCTAGTTTTTAAAATGTTGAATTCATTTTGATAATATTAGGCAAATTAAGTCATTTATCTATTTATATGAATTTTTCATATAAATTGATAAGCACCACTCTTTTAACTTGAAGTAGCATCTTAAAATAATCATTTGGTTTTTCGAATATCCTATAGTTTTCAAACTTTAGAAGCCGTTAATATTGACCTAGCAGACAATATTTTTGGTAAATCTAAAAAAAGCAAACTTTTCAATTAAAAAACTAATTAAAGGTTCTAACCACTTGTGGTACTATTAACGTTAGTTTTTTCGGCTAAATAATATTAAAGGATATATACTTTTGTCTTTTAAGATTTCTCTCAATTTGGTTCATGATATTTTAAAATTTTAAAGTTTATCTTCGATGTATTAGAAATTATCAAAAAAACCTATTAAATTTTGTTAACAAAACCTAACATGTTATTATTTTATTAACATATTTGGGTACATAGAGATTCATAGGTCGAATTTTGCTAATGGACGAGTTAGGTTTTATGAGTCAAATCACATTCGAGTGGCATATTCACATGTCTAAATATGTGATAAAATAATAGTTTAATAATACATCTTTTTGTTAATGAATTTTGTCAACATGAGTTTAGCTCAGCGGTAATTAACCAACATTTCTAACCAAGAACTAAATTTTAACTTTTGACCCTGTTTACTATTACCCGCAATCGTAATAAAAACTTTTATCATCAAATGATGTTTACGAAATGAAATCAAATGGTAGGATCCAACTCAAACTTTGTAATCTCATCATCTAAATTTCATTACACTCCAACAATCCATCAATCCCATCCCCATTCCTTTGTTTGTGGACTCCATATATATATTATAATTAATTTACAACTTTTACCCTTTCTCTCTCATCTATTAATTAGATCCATACAATTTTTAAATTAATCTTTTATACTTTTATAATTTCTTCTCTATTTATACTTTAATTTGATTTTATTATATAAGTTATAAATTTTAAATTTGATTTTATTATATAAGTTATAAATTTATATTAATTAATATCAATAGATTTTTAAAAATATAAATTATTATTTTTAAATATTAGAATAATAAAATTTAATAAGATGTTATAATAAATTATGGTTGTTCAAATAAAAAAATATTTTATTTGATGTAATTTTATTTTAATTATTCATTGTTTATTAATATTAAATAAATTGTTATAATAAAATATATTTACTATCAATATCAATAATATATCAATAATATATTGTAATTAAAAAAGATTAGCAAAATAATGTATTTGTAATTAGGTAAAAAGGAGAAAGGAGTATAATAGTAATGGTTATATATCTGATTTCGATTTCAATTTCAGACAATTTTAGCAAATAACATTAAAAGAATTCTGATTACGATTCTAGAAAATTTATGGTAAACAACATCAAATGAATAACATTCTCATTCTGATTGATTTTCATTTCGATTTATTTCCCTTACGATTGCAGGTAAGTAAACGAGTCAAAATTTTTATGGAGGATTGAGAATTTTGAAAGATTGAGAATCAAATTGAAAATAACCAAGATTATTAGCTTAGTTTTTACGCAAGACACATAATTCCAGTAGCAAAAGCTATAAATTGAAATGTGAAATACTCAAAAAAAAAAAAAGTGAAACTTAGAGAGGTTTCAAGTTACCATTATTCTGAAAAAAAACAAAGTTACCATATAACATAATTTAATGTTACTGTGCTAAATGGAAAATCATATACATTCAGTAACAAGGATAAAGAAAACTGTTATAGGAAGTAAAACGGTCTAGACAAGAAATGGGAGAAGGAGAAGGGCACGAACCAGATAAGCTTCGAAGGGCTCCAAGCCTCGACACTGAGGTGTTCTCAGCTATAGGCTGAGAATCTTCTCGGTTTCTCTCCCAGTCTCCATGTCGACCGACCCGGATTTGTTTTGTGTCAACCCCGATTCGATGTTTGGCCCGTGATGAAATGCATTAGGGCCCAAGAACACTGATTGCTTGAAGGACCTAGGGTTTGAGTCATGTAAATCCTAAGGAGGAGATGAAAAATTATAAATAGGGAGCGGAGTCAAACCTGAGAGGTACCTTGAATATACTCTACTCTCTATATTGCATAATTTCGATACTATTGTAAAACCACACCGTTCTTAGAGCGGTTTCGTTTCGGAGGCTGTATCAGTCCCTTTCATATCTACAGTTCCTGCCTCAACAAAAACCAATTTGGCTAGGAAGTGAAAGTGCTCTTAACATTTTAAACTTTTAGGATAATATATAAATTCAAATTTCCAATTCATTGTTTTAACACAAACGATTCACTCAATTATGAGATGGGTTACTTGAATTTTCTTGTAAAGGAAACTGTAGTAATTTGCGGTGTACAATATTTTATTAACTTTTGGAAGTCAATTAAATAAAGCTCTAAAAAAAGTAAAGATTGTATCCCTATTGAGTCTCTATATTTATAGAAAAATTTCTTTAGATGTTTTGTTTTTGAAATATTCTTAGAGATGTTTATAAGTTTAGAGTTTTGTCTAGTAGTGTGTGTAAAAATGTTCTATAGACTTGAAATGTTCTATAGACTTTGACCTTTCAATTTTACATTTTTTAGTATATCTCTAATTGGAAAAACCCTATTTCTATTATTGGAATAAGTAGAAAATAAAAATTTACGTGGAAAACTCCAAACCACAACTCACAAGAAAAAAAATATTCCCTCAAGTAAATATCACTCAGTTAACCAGAGCTGGTATACTAGGTGTAAAGTAATTTCAATTGGGACGGATAAAACTCAAGGCCATAGATCATTTATAATAGTTGGAACACACTTCCTCCTTCTTTTATCTTTCTAGAACAAAATTCAATTCTATTATCTTGTCAAAACCCAACAATCTCTGCCATTAACTTTATTTGCTTACACTTCCCATTAGGCCATAATTAGGTTAATCTCGAAGAAAGGTTCGAGCCCGTAGCAATAGAGTAAACGAGACCATATTTCACAAGATAGATTTTCATTAACATTGACCAAAAAAATATTACTCAGTACTCCCCTCAATGTTAGGGTTAGGGTTGCAAGAAGCACAAACAAAATTTCACGTTAACTAATTAAAACGAGAGTGATTATGTCAAGTAAAACTAAAAGCAAAACCAGGATTGTTGGTCACAGGAGAAGTGGCCAAAGAAATTGGCATAAAGTGAAACAAAAAACAAAATTTAAAGCTTGAAAATGGGGGCAGCGATAAGGTCGGTTGGTGCAGAATTTATAGTATTAAGTAATTAAAAGAGGAGTGAGAGTACAGTGGCCATTAAGCCGCAATGGCATCTCAGCTCTGAAACCCACATAATGCTCTCCACCATTAACCATCAAAAACATTACTTTTTTCTTCTTTTGTTTCAGAATCTGGGTGGTGGGTTTTGGATAGACTTCTGCTTTCTTTCTCATCTATTTTTTATTTTTATTTTTTGTGTTTGAGTTCTCTGCACACTGTTTTGCAGTAACTTGTTTGGTTCATATTAGTGTGAATGTCCTTTTTTTCCTTAAAACTTTTGGTTGTTTGTACTCGGGAAATTCTCTCTTTCAATACCTCTTAAACTAAAGATCACAACTTTCTCTCTTTCTATGGTTGGTTATGTAAAATTTTACACCATCAGCGAATTCGAGTGATGGAATATGTCTTAGAAAAATCGACTGAATTAACCACAAGATTAACTTTTTGAAGTGTAGTAAGGAAAAACTAGATAAATATAAGAGTGATCCATAATGGACTCTCGTTCTTTGAGTCCATGGATATTGGACCATACAATTCTATTTTTCTTTACTATTAGATAGGAACAAATAGAAATAAGGAACGGATCGAAAATGTTACCAGACGAGCTTTCAGTGCCCTAGTTTCCCATGCTAAAAAGTCTTCATGAATTTTTCATACTCAAAGTCTCTAATTCCCGTCTAACATCCAAGATAATAATGTTCATGGATCTTTAGTAAAAGAAACAAGAAAGTCCATAAGGGACACTCATACACGCTATTCTACCATAGTAGTTTATTTGAATTTGCCATATCGATCCATTTACTCGATTATTGATATCTTAATCCTCGAAAAAACTTGTAAAAGGAAAAAAATCCTTAAAAAAATCAAGTACAATAGTACTTATTTAACATGGTATAAATGACATAAGTTTTTAGGTTGAATGGTAATTTTAGACTCGAGTTAGATTTAGTTGTGGACTTCCCACCCATCAATTTCTATTTTTTATTTTCTTTTATCATCATCATCGAACTCCACAGAGGAAACCTATGGCTAAAGTGAAATGGTCGGTTCCCCAGAACTTAAAAACTATAATTATTACAAAAAGTTGAGAGAAGTTGCAGAATATATATATAAGGCAATGATATCATCTTTCCAATCCACCATTGCCTTGGTATTATATATATCTTCATTCTCCATTTCAGATTCTTCATTCATTAAAAAAAAAAAAAGGAAAAAAGCTTGATCTGGCCTTTAATTTGTCAGCATTTTCAGTTTATGGGCATAATTTTGAACTGAGCTTTCCAAAGGGGAATAATTCTCTATCTGTTTTGTTTCCCTTCAAAAATGTTGTGTCATATTTCTTCATTTTGTTTTTGCATTCGAATTTTCATCTTCTTCTGCCTCTTGTTTTCTGTCCATGGCCGCCATGCAAAGAAGCACAAACATTCTCACCATCATGATCATTACTCCATTTCACAGCCTCCTTCTCCTCCTCCTTCTCCTTCGTCGGGATTGGCAAGTCCTCCCGATGATGGAGGGTACTCCTCGTCCTTGAACTCCAGCGGCGGCATTTTTGACGTACGTCATTTTGGTGCCATTGGAGATGGTATGGTGGACGACACGGAGGCGTTCAAGATGGCGTGGGACACAGCATGCCAGAGTGATGATGATGATAGCTCTGCAGTTATTCTCGTTCCCTACGGTTTCTCCTTTTTGATTCAGTCGACAATTTTCACAGGGCCGTGCAAAAAAGGGGTTGTGTTTCACATTGATGGCACTCTTGTAGCTCCCGATGGGCCCGATGCTTGGCCGAGGAGTTATAGTGCGCATCAATGGTTGGTTTTCTACCGAGTTTATAACATGTCGCTTCAAGGTGATGGTCTCATTGATGGCAGAGGCCAGAAATGGTGGGATCTCCCTTGCAAACCCCACAAGGTAAGAGAGATTCTTTCACCCATTTTTTTTAATATCACACGAATCTAGAATGTTTAAATATGGGAAGAGAAGGAGTGAAGGAGTAAGTATTACTGCAGTAGGAGAAATATTTTTTAAATACATCTCAGGTTCTAAGACTACTTTATTTTTGTAGGGAGGAACAGGAAAAACGACAACGGGACGATGTGATAGCCCAATTGTAAGTCAAAGTTGTGTTATAAAATCTTGTTTATGATTTTTTTTTTATGAGTTTTAAAAAAGTTAGGGTTTTGCAGGCAATAAGATTCTTCATGAGCTCCAACTTGACAGTGGAAGGACTTAGAATAAGAGACAGTCCTCAGTTTCACTTCAGGTTTGATAATTGCAGAGATGTTTATATTGATTCTCTCCAAATAACAGCTCCTGCCTTCAGTCCAAACACTGATGGAATTCACATTGAGAATACAAATGGTGTCAAGATATACAATTCAATAGTTGCCAATGGTTTGTACTCGGTCATTTTCTTAATCGTTTGTTTTCTGTTCAATAAGTGGACCGTATTAGCTGTCCGCTCTTCGGTTGGACAGTGAGGGTCGGAGTAAAAAAGAAGTATGACTTTCATAATCTAACTGTCCTCCTGAACCCATTGAGAAAAATGAGAATTGAAGTCTATGAGACCTAATTTCCTGTCTCTTTTTTTCTTCTCGCGGCAAAAAAGCAAGATTCTCAAACTCCTCTTTTAAAAGTGAAAACATGTTCTAAAATGGGTATTAATTACATAACTTTGTTTAATAATGTTCTCATTTCTTGTATCTGGTAAGATTGAAGAAAAACAAAAAAAAAAATGCATGTTTGACCATTGGTTTTTTCTTTTTGGTTTATTTTATTCTTTGTTTTTTACAAAATAAAAAAAAAAGAATGCCTTTTGGGACAAGAAACAAGAAATCGGTTGTTGGGAGGAAGAGATGTATAAGTTACCGTTTGTTAAAATTTGAAAACAAGAAATAAGAAATGATATGAAAAGGAAACGTTCTTTTTTTTTTTTTTGGGTAACGGTTCCAAACTGTTGTTAGGTGATTTTTGTACAGGTGATGATTGCATTTCAATTGGATCAGGTTCTTATAATGTTGATATAAAAAATATAACATGTGGACCAGGTCATGGAATTAGGTAATAAAACTTTTGTTTCTTTCAAATATATAGATAGAAGAATTTTATGTTCTTCTTAAAAATACTAGTTATTTACACCTTTGGTTTGAATCTAGCATTGGCAGTCTAGGCAATCACAACTCCCGAGCGTGTGTGTCGAACGTAACGGTTCGGGACTCGACAATCAAAGTCTCAGACAATGGGGTTCGAATCAAGACATGGCAAGGCGGATTTGGAGCAGTAAGAGGAGTAAGTTTTAACAACATTCATATGGACAATGTTAGGAATCCCATCATAATTGATCAATTCTACTGCCTCAACAAAGGGTGCCTCAACCAATCCTCAGCAGTTCTTGTATCAGACATAACCTATACCGATATCAAAGGAACTTACGATATTAGGAGCCCACCGTTGCATTTTGGTTGTAGTGACTCCATGCCATGCACAAACTTAACACTTGCTGATATTGAACTTCTTCCCGCTAGAGGCGACATTGTTTCGAACCCCTTTTGTTGGAATGCTTATGGAAACTTGCAGACCCTAACAATTCCTCCCGTTGCTTGCTTACTCGAAAGCGCCGCACGATCGACCATACAAAGTGAAAAGGATTATTGTTGACCCTTTTGATAGAAATACATTATTGTAATGAGGAGTGTTTTTAAAAATCTCCTTCCAAATGAATCAATATAATATATCTTTTGTCTTACTATTTTTCTAATGTTTAATAAGTCATTTTCAACCATAATGCGTGTCGATGTGAGAGTGGAGGATCGAACTCACAACCTCTTGGTGGGAGATATATACCAATTACCGTTGAGATATGGTCATAATGCATACTAACAAATCTATTCATTTATTTGGAGATTATGACCAATTATATTGGAGATATTAATAAAAATGATATTGTATTGTAATAGCCAATTGGAAAGCATGAAGTTAGGTTATATATATTATGTATTAAAGGTAGATTTAGAGTGAAATTTAGTAAAAAAAAAAAATGCAAATGGAGGTTAAGATATAGAATTAATGAGAGGTAGAGAATAAATGTTGGGGAGAGTGAAATTTGTCAACAAAAGCACCAACTTTTTTGACAAATTGAGAGGTGAAAGTGGAGTGACGCACTTTTTGTGGCTTTAGCACGCCTGTGTACCTAATGGAATCTACAAGTTATTCTCTTTTTTAAGTTTTACTTTTCTAGATTTTCTTTTATTTCTCGAAATCCATGTCAGTGTGGCCTATTACGTGGGTCGAGCAACACAGTGACAAGTACAAAGCTTGAACCTAATATCTCATGGTAGGTGATACCACAAGACCCAATATTCTTGCCATTGCACCAACTTCCGAGACTTTTAGTTGGATATGAATGTCTTAACCCATTGAATTATGTTGTGACTTAATATACGTACCATATATATGTTAATATTTGTTATTAGAAGGAAAAAAATCAATAAATTTTCTAGATTTAAATAAAATTGACAGTAAAAGATTATTTTATTATCAATTGACAATGAGAGGACTAGCCAACGATTTATATTGAATCTCTTGTCTTTTCAAGATGTGATCATTTAATATTATTAAAGCAAATGGAGGTACATTATGTGTGGGTCCCTTATTTTTTTGTTTTTATTTTTAATTTTATTATTATTTTTTTTGGCTAAACTATTGAGTTGGATTTAGGTTGGCCAAACTTGGTTGATTGCAAGCTCAAATCCAAATTCCCAATTTATAATAACCAAAATATCATAAATTTAATTCATGAAATAAATATTAAAAAACAACAAAAAAATATTCAAGAGGATTACATTTGCAATAATTTTTTCTCAAACTTAAACCAACAATTTAATTCAAGCGATAACTAATATAATAAAAAAAAATAAATATGTTTAAAAATTAAATTACAATAAATAAAAAGTATACGGTTAGAAAAAATGTTAGGCAAGAAAGATTAGAATTTTTTGGGAAAGAAGAGAAAATAAAAAGAATAACAAATAAGATTTCATTAAATTGAATGGTTTGATATAAAAATGGCCTATTTATAATACTATAATTCCTAATTAAGAAATCTAATTCAAATAATATAATTTAACCTAAATCTAATTATAATTCAAATAATATTATCTAACATCCTCTCTCAAATTCACAACAATATACTAAAGTTGTGAGTTTACTCAAAAAACCAAAACTAATGACTCAATCAAAATAGAAAAACAAACCTAACTTTAAAAACTTAAAACTAAAACTAAAGTTGCGAAAACAATGCTGAAGTTGTGAATGCCGTAGAAATGCAACATGCTAATGAACAACCATGCCAATACCAATGCCGATGCCAAATGCCAATTTCAATACCAATGCTAATGTCAATACCAACGCCAATACCAACACCAACCAACGACGAATGCCAATGCCGATTCCAACCACCAATGCCAATGCAAATTCAAATCAAATCCACCAATCACATTCAAACCTCTTCGAGAAGTACTATAAACAAGCTTTATCATCTTTTTCATCCTCCTCATGCCTCCTCCTCCTTATCCTCCTCCATATTTTCTTTTAATTAACTTTGATACCATGTTAACTTTTTAGGGAAGAAGAGAAGATAGGGAGGACAACAAATAAGATTTCATTGAATTGAATTGCTTGATACAGACCTAATGACCTATTTATAATACTATAATTCCTAATCATAATATTAATAAGAAATCTAATTCAAATCTAATTATAATTCAAATAATATATCTAACACGACCAACCCTCGACGCACTCCACTTTCCGAGCACCTTTGAGATTTCACTAAACATGATTCGTTTACGGATTCATAAGACTGCAAATCTGGTCTTTTGATGAAATCAAGACTAAATTTTACCAACTCTTCTTTTCACGATATCTAAAATTAAACCCAATTTTTTTTCTCATAACATATATCAAAATTTACACTCCATTATTCTTTATCGAGCTCAAGAATTAAATCCAACTAAGTATATCATATGTAAAACCTAGAGATGACAACAGCACGAATCGGGGATTCCTCGAACGAGGATGGTTCCCTGTGGGGACCCGTCCTCTTATAATTGAATTTAAAACATTTTTTTTAGAATGTATCTAGCTTCGTTTTTTAAAAATGTTTTAATTGTTTAAAAAATAAACTTTCTTTTACAGAATATAAGATAAATATATATTATGACGTCTTGGTTAGAGATCTATATCAATTACAGTTGAGTTAAGTTTATGTTAGCTATAATTAAATACTATCAAAATGTTTTAATGTATTGGTTTTTTAAGTCCAACAAAAATTTAATTGTTATAGAAATTATAAAAATTAAAATTAGGGTTAGGAGAGAAGAGAAGGAAATTTGAGGTTTTTAAATTTGATAAAATATTTATTAAATTTAATATATTAATAATTAAAAATTATTAAAATATTAAATGGGGTGGTGTTTGGGATGGTTTTTTTTTATTTTAATATTGTTCCAAATGAAACTTATTTTTAAAATATAGTTGTTTAATTAAAAATATTAAAAATATTGTAGGTTTTGAAATTTATTTTAAAAATATTGTACTTTTAAAAAACAGAAAGTTGGTCGTCTCTTGAGAGACGACCAATTTAGACGTAGCGCCACCTAAATTTTTTAAAAAATTTGAACGTGGTCGTCTCTTCTGAAGAGACGACCATTTGGTCGGTTCATTTTTGAAAAAAAAAAAGAAAAATTTGTTATAATATATATTATTTGGTAGTTTTAATGTAAAAAAACTACTTAGTGGTGCAGCGGATGTACTATTATCCTAATATTACTTCCATCCCAAGATTGAATCTTGGGTTACACAGTTTTTTATTTTATAACCATTAATCATCTCTCTTTTTTTATTTTATAACCATTAATCATCTCTCTTTTTATATATACTAGTGTATTAATTATGCCGGTCAAATTAGAAAGTTAAAAGGTTAAAATTTTTGAAATTTAATTTCAAATAAAGCTTTATAGTTAATAATATAAGTAAAAATAAAATATTTCAAAATATGAAATAACAAAACTTTTCACATTCAACATTTATAAATTTCAAACTTTTATATTGATTTGGTGCATTTAAAATTTTATTGGTCAAGAGTTAAAGTTTCCAAATAATATTTTACTTAATAAAAATTTCATTGCTTTTTTGTTTCTCTCTAATTTTGAGCATTTTGAACTCATCAACTTTTTTAAAAATAAAAYACTCATAATTTTACATTTTAAAATTTAGTTTTACTTATTTGAATCATATTTATTCGTGTAATTAATTAATAAAATATAATAACTATTATAAATAAAATAATATATTATACTGCTTCTATAATATTTATTTTTAATCCACTTTTTATTTATTATATTAATTTTAATGAGTTATAAAAATTTATAATTGATGAGAAAAAACAGACATTAATTAGAATTCAAATTAAACATGTTATTATCTAATTATTAGTAATATTTGAAATAGTTAGCTCAAGTGGTTTTTTTTATTATTTTAAATAAAATATTTCTATAGAGAAAAAAAATCTTTTTAGCTATTTTAAAATATGTCATATTTATTCGTGTAAAAATAAACAATGTTAGCAGAGAATAATATTTATGTATAATTCATATTACATTCATACATTTAAAAACTTAGTTATAATTAAATTTTAAAATTATAACCATTTATAAATTTCTATAATAAAAATAATAACAATACTGATTATAAAATAAGTTCTAGATATTTATAGAGAAGATTCGTACCTGTTTTTCAAAAGATAGTTCTCAAAGATTGGTCCACCTTTGATTAACGTATGAGACCAAACCATAAACAACATTACCTTCAAACTCCTATAAATTGAGATACTCAAGGTGTTAGGTCACTGTGTAATATGATATTGCTAAATCTGTAATTCGAAGAAATCAATAAATGAAAAGAAGCAAATTAAGAGAGAGCTAAATTGTCGTATAAAAAAATAGAGATGAACTTCATATATATACATGTAGGATTTCTCAATCCAATTAGGGTGGGTACTTGCCGGGATTGAGTCCCACAGAATTTTTCAACGTCCCTAATCAAACCACTAGTTGCATGTGTCTAAAATAAATTTCTTATTAAATGACCGTGTCAATAAGCCAAACTTTTTTTAGTACAACAATTTGGGGATATGAGGATCAAACCTCCGACCTCGAGGGAATGAATATATGTAATTACTACTAAACTATGTTTATATTGATAGTGTCAATAGTGTCAATAACTGATTGACGATATTCAATGTAAATTATTCATTAAGTATATATTTTTATGTATATATCAGACATCACTATATTTAGTGTAATTTTTGTAGGAATTGATCGAGAAATTAGATGAAAAACGATTGTTGTGTCGTGGTTGAACTACTGCCTTGAAAGCAATTTCGGCACGATCACGGTACTAAATCGTATGTACGCCGGTTGCTCCCCAAGGTTAACACAACTCCGAACTCAGGCGTGCACTTGTTGGAGCTGGATGGAATCGAAGAATACACTCAATTTCGTCAAAAATTCATTACCTTTTCTCGCGTGCCTAAGCAAACTTGATTTGGTTTTAAAAAGAGAAAAGTAAAAACGTTTTAGCTTTATTAATTAAAACGTTACAAAATAAAATTAATTAATTAATTCTG